GGGAGCCGTTCTGGGCCTCCATGTCAATGTTCTCAATGTCACGAGAAGATACACTCATCCCACTAGATTAACACAACCAATCGATAATACCAATTAATACTAATGGATAGGTAATAATCAACCCACCAAGCCTTGGGTTGCAACGATAGTACTTCACGTAAGGATGGTCCAACCAGTAAGGACCACAAACCAATAAAAGAACTCTTAATCTTATCTATACTTCACGTACAAGCTCTAGCTTACTTAGCTTGAATGTCTACGATCACACAGAGCAAACACTACCGCGCACGCCCTAAAATCAAGTGCTCAGTTTGCTCACAACACTTTCATCACCGGCACAAAATGCGCGTTAGATTGGCTCTGACTAAATATTCTCGATAGCAGTAGCGGCCCATAGAGTTTCTCCCTGACGATAACGGCTAACACGGCATAGCAATGTGAAGCACGGTATAAGAACTCGTTGACGAGTGTGACACGTAACTCACATAACGGGCACCTCACGTGTGCGCCACGTTGTTCCAGTTAGGAACGTGAGCATTCGTGTAAGGCGTTCTCTGGAGTCAAGTGAACTAGACTATTGGGCTCATCGTTTCATTTCTCTAGTCTAGTCTTATTGATATCGGAAGTCAGTTCGACTTTGACTCTCTTGCCTTCCCTATATGGCCGGCAAGTTGCCGGTTGCAACGGATCCGATGTCGTGAACCATACCGCTTGTGTTACGGTCGGGAAACCAGCCGACTTGAAACTTGAATTTCGTTGTCGGTGTATTCGTTCGCCGAGGCATGGCTGAGATGCCTGAAATCGCTGTCCGGCATTTTCTTCGGTCTCTCTAGGATATCTTGGATTCTGATTAAAGGTCTATTTACCTGGCTCATAATGGTCGCTCCCATCACTGACTCCTTGACAGTATATCCGGGTGCACTGTTCAGAGGTTTGGATCACGAGCTTACCCGCATTCTCCGTCGCTATGTACCTGGTATCATCAAAGGCGGTGCTATTGCACTGCTATCTTGGATTTTCATCAGGCTCGCGAAGCAACTCCATTCTTGTATCAAGCCGTTACCTTTTCCCGGCCCCAAGGTAGGAAGACTCCTCAAGTGATCCACTGGCTCCGGTGATGCAGCGGCACTGTCGAGTGAACTTTTCCGACTCTTCAGGGAAGTCCGATTTGCGGAATGGCCTTCAAACTGGATCCGAAAAGAGCCCTAACTTCCATGAGTGCCTGGGTCAAGGAATTCGGTGAAACGATCTCATTCCGGTGAGTCGCATGGTCTTCTTCGATCGAACTTATGGGTTTCCTTGGCGTGTTAACTGATGAACGCCAGGGGTTCCCTTTGGTTGTCTCAGAGTCTTCTCGAAGACCTTCGTTGTCACCAAGAATCACGATACTCTCCAACAAATATTCAGAGACTCGAGTAAAGGACTCTTCGTACGGCAATTCAACACCCTGGGACTACTACCCGAGTCCGGCATCTTCCTCACACACGGTCAAGCGTGGGGGGAAGGCAGAAGGAGGGTCGACCCAATACTCGCTGAGACGAATGTTCGCGGCTTGGTCCCCGCAATGTCCCAAATGTCACGGAGGCTGGTAAGCTTGATGACTTGGCTGCACCTTATGGCAATATGGACGAGAGAACCTTAGGTTAACGTGCTTTCTGCTATGAGTGACTGCGCTGGACAAGTTCACGACTGGGAGCCCCATGGATTGCTGCAACTGACAGCATTGGACTTCACATTCGCCACACACTTTGGGAAAGACTTCAATTTCCTAAGTCCACTAGGTGAGACGACAACATAATATTTCCAAGGGATCAAATCTTTACGCACTGTCATTGAAACTAGTCAATGACGTGCAAATGACAATCCGATAGATTGTTGATGGATCGAATCCATCAACGTGTCAGATGGACACGGTTACAGGAGCTGTTCGGTATTTTATTCCGGCAGCAGTTGTCACATAGTTACTGAGTATTCCGTTATGTTGCTCAGATACCAACGGAGCAGCCGATCGGGAGTACACCTTGGGCGCTTTTCAAGATTTCTTGACGGGCTTCGATTTCATCCTCAAACATCAGGCTCTAGGGCCTCTCCTGCAGAATAGGTACCCGAATAAGCTAAGCCAGAAAGTGGCCAAGGTGAGTTGTTCGTTGTCATCAACTCCTTTTATGTCTCCGATATTGTGAAAGTGGCCTCTTGAAGAGGCCCTCTTCCATGTAGTTCTACTCGTCTGTGGCGAAAGTGGAAACTTCTGCGAGAGAAATCATCGAACAGAGAAAGAAGGAATTGTCTGAAGGGGCTGAACCCAAGTGTACCGTTTTGGACAAGTTGATCGCCGAGAAGAGGCTAGACTTGGCATGGAATCTCATAACGTGAGTATTCCAGTAGCCGGTGATGGTCCCGCTTCCGCTCTTCAACAGTTTCACGCTGAGTGGGGGCACTTCGGTACCCTCGAACATCGAGTGGTTCCTCTATCTGATGTGTATAAACCAAGATGCTCAGAAGAAGGCCAGGGCCGAAGTTGACGCTCTTGGAAAAGATCCAACCGATAACGACGATCTTGACAAACTACGATACGTCGAGGCATGTGTGTTGGAAACTCTCCGTGTGGGTACAGCATCTTGCCTTATGTATATTGGTATACGTGAGGGATGATTGGCGTCGTATTTATTTAGATGAATAACTCGACCCCTGGTCCTCTCCCTTATCTAACCACAGCGCCCTACACCATTGAGGGGAGAGAACTTGAAGCTGGGACGGTATTGATAATGATGACTGGTGAAGCTATGAAGAGTAAAATCCATGGCGGAGAGGAATTCAGGTAGGGCCTACTGGTTCGAGATCAGTTGCAGGATTCTCCTTTCCAGGCCCGAAGGTTGGTTCGTTCCCGGTACCGGTGATATCGATCGTCAAAGAGCACGAAATCATTGGGCTTTCACTGGGAGTCCCCGTAGATGTCCAGGACAGTATCTCGCTATGAAGAGTGTATAGTGATGGCTGCAACTATCCTGAGACATTTCGACGAGATCCATCTCAGCGACGGT